GCTACTACTACTACTACTACTACTACTACTACTACTACTAATACTACGACTACCACGACCTACTACTACTACTACTACTACTACTACTACTACTACTACTACTACTACTACTACTACTACTACTACTACTACTACTACTACTACTACTGCTGCTAAGGGAGAGGTCCAAGTCAGTCAGAGGCGGGGGGTCTGGAGGTCTTCAGGTGGTTGTCTGCGCCTCTTGGCCTCGGCAGCCAGCTCAAGCGCCCTCCTGCCAAACTCACTCGCTCGGTCTACGGAGGCAAATCTAAACGCTTGCACACCATGCGCTAAGTAGGGTCGGGCATTCGACCAGAGGCCCGAGTGTCCAAAACACGTATATATATATATATATATATATATATATATATATATATATATAACGCATGGTCTCGCAACACGGAGGTTCAAAACAATATTGCGCGCTTTTGCGAATTCGTTAGGAAACCTTCGGTTTTTCAGCATTTTCAAGAATTGCTACCATATGGGCTTCGCGCGCGCATGTCGAAATCGTTCGAACGCTCTTGCGCGCGGGCTGGGGTGGCACGATCCGTTTCAAATAACACCATGCGGGCCACTCTCGCGCGTCTGCCGCGCGCGCATGTCGAGCTCCTTCCAAAACCTTCATCACCGACGCGAGGACGCCGTCATCGTCATCGGTGTTTTCAGCATCGGCGCCGCCACTGGCTGCCATGTCGTCGCTGTCAGCATCGTCACCAGCATCGCTACTATCGTCATCGTGTCTACCGTTGTCGACGTTGCCATGATACCGCGCCCGCCCAAGCCGCCGACTGGCACTGAAGTGCCCGCTGCGATGTGCCGAGCGGTCAGCGCCACCGCGGTCGCGTTGGTCGCGCCAAACTAGCTGGCCGCTTCGCGCGCGAGCATGCGCGGGTCAGTGCGGCCGCAGAGATGCACCAGCCAACACCAAGCACTCATCGCAATCGCTTCCGCATGGGTTTGGCAATCCAAATTGCGGGTGGGCGGGTGGGATGATTGCGCGAGCAGTGGGGCCGACAACTTCAAGGTGAATTCTCGTTTCTAAAGAGAGAACAGACTCTACCCCCTCCCCCAGGGATTATCGAATTTCTTTTTCGCATTGTAATTTACATATGATTCTGCCCCATCGTCCACCTTTAATATGGATTCGCACCATCCAAGCCGAGCCGGTATCGCCCCTCCCCGCAATCCTCTGGAACAGAAGTCCATGCGCGCGAGCTCGTTTATCACAAATCAGAATTGCCAATGATCTCTTCCAAAAACGGGACGAAGTGCGCACGCGCGCGTCGTCGCGCGCGCATGCCGACATCCTTCAAAAACCTTCAGTTTCGTAGAGATCCCAAAATCGAGTGTCAAAAAAACATATAAACCACATGGTTTCGCAACACGGATTCTCCAACAAAAACTTGTGCGCGCTCTTGCGATCCTGAAGCAAAGCCATACTTTGTTATGAGAAATAATAGATTAATATCAAGCGGGTTTCGCGCGCGCATGTCGAAATCGTTCGAACGCCCTTGCGCGCTTGTCGTCGCGAATCCTTTGCAACAGGTGGGACGAAATGCGCGCGCGTCGTCGCGTGCGCATGCCGAAATCCGTCAAAAGCTGCCGGTTCCGGAACGATTTCAAACCGAGTGTCCACCAGGCATAGAACAACACATGTTTTCGCAACGTGAGTTTTCAAAAAAACATGCGCCCGCGCTCTTGCCAAGTCTTGAGAAAACCCTTGGTTTTAAAAATGTTCGTGGGATTCCGCCAAGTTGCCAAACCGGTTTCTCGCGCCGCATGCCGACATCATTCGCGCGCCCTTGCGCGCGTGTTTGTTGGGCACGGCCTGTGTCAAATAATACCATGCGGGCCACTCTCGCGCGTTGGCCGCGCGCGCATGTCGAACTCTTTCCAAAACCTTCGCACCTACGCGAGGACGCCGTCATCGTCGTCGGCGTTTTCAGCATCGGCGCCGTCACTGGCTGCCATGTCGTCGCTGTCAGCATCGTCATCAGCATCGCTACTATCATCACCGTGTCTACCGTTGTCGGCGTTGCCATGATACCGCGCCCGCCCAAGTCGCCGACTCGTACTAAAGTGCCTGCTGGGATGTGCCGAGCGATCAGCGCTACCGCGGCCGCGTCGGTCGTGCCAAACTAACTGGCCGCTGCGCGCGCGTGCATGCACGGGCTGTCGCGGCCGCTGGAATGCACCAGCCAGCGCCGAGCATTCATCGCAATCGCCGCCGCATGGGATTTGCAAACCAAGTTGCGGGTTGGTGGGTGGGATGTTTGCGCGAGCAGTGGAGTGGACAATTTCCAATTGAGCAATGGTGGATTGCACCGCATCTATTACACCGCGTAAATTACATTACGTAGGTCGCACCGCGTAGATTGCACCACGTAGATTGCAACAGTGCGTTGCGCAGGTTGCATCGCATACGTTGCCCTGTTTATATCGCACCGCACAGAATGCTAGATATTATCGTTTGGGGTCCATGCTGGCTAACACGAATGTGTGTGTATGTATGTATATGTATGTATGTATGTACGTACGTACGTACGTACGTATGTATGTATGTATGTATGTGTGCGTATGTGTGTATGTATAGATGCAGGTGTGTAAATGTATGTATACAAACCATGTGTATATATACATACACGGATGCTGTTAAGACTAGTTTCCCCTAGCCTGCCAGGAAAAACCCGCGCCGGGCGAGCCTGTGGCGGCATGCGCTTGCAAGGAAGGAAGGAGGAGGAGGAGGAGGAGGAGGAGGAGGAGGAGGAGGGGGAGGAGGAGAAGGCTTTGCTTGGACAGCCCGGGGAGACCAACCAGGTCAAGCCTGGCCACATCATCGGCTCAGATCACATGGGTGAGCCAAGCTTCGCGACAATCGTGAGATAACTTCCTTTCCAGCTTTGATGGGTTGACGTCGTTCCGCCCCCCTGGCGCCGCCGGAGGTCACGAGCACCCCCATGAAGCAGGAGGGCTGGAAGCTCACGGAGGCTCGGCCGCAAAGGGTGGGGGGAGGGGGTACAGCCGCCCGCCGGCGGTTGCCCGCTCGTTTGCGGCAGCCTGCCGAGGATGCCGGCGAGGCAGTCAACAGCTCTCTGGAGCCAGAGGGGGCCTCGGGCCGGGGCGTGGTCAGGGCAGATCTCTCCTCAGCTGCTCCCCGCTCGGGGGTGGGGGTAGGGGGCTCTGGCCCTGGATCCGCCAGCCTGCACCAGGACACGCTGCCGTCCGTTAGCCAGCCAAGAGCAAGGCCCCCTCCTCCTACTCCTCCTCCCCCTCTTCCTCCTCCTCCTCCTCCTCCTCCTTCTCCTTCTCCTCCTCCTCCTCCTCCTCCTCCTCCTCCTCCTCCTCCTCCCCGTTCCGTTCCTTTTGCTTCTGCCGCTTCTCCTCTTCGTCCTTTTCTTCCTCCAACTGCTCCTCCTGCTTCTCATGCTTCTCACTCACACTACTCCTCCTGCGCCTCCTCCGACTGCTGTACTGCTCCTTCTCCTGTCCCTGCTCCTCCTCCGACTCCTATTACGCCTCCTCCTACTCCTCTTTGGGCGTGTTTCATTCGATATTTTTTTTTATGTTGCGCAGTCTTTCGTCTCTCAGTTCTGAGTCCATTCGCACTTCCGGATCCGACGAGGTCTGGAGATAGAAGTGATTATGCGGAGGGGGGGAGGAGGAGCAGGGAGAAGGGAGGGGGAAGGAACAGGAGGAGGACGACGAGGAGCAGGTGGAGGATGAGCGAGTGGGGTAGTATGAGGTGGAGGAGGAGGAGGCTGGGGATATTGGTGGTGGTGCTGATGATCATGGTGGTGATGGTGATCCTGACAGTGATAGCGATGATGATGGTGATGGTGATAGTGATGGTGCTGGTGATGGCGATGATGACGGACGATAGTCATGAGGATGATGATCATAATAATGGTTTTGGTGATGGTGATGGTGGTGATGGTGGTGATGGTGGTGATAGTGATGATGGTGATGATGGTGATGATGGTGATGATGGTGATGGCGATGATGATGGCGATGATGATGATAATGTTGATGACGATGATGATGAGGACGATGATGACGATCATGATAATGAGAATGGTGGTGATGGTGCTGGTGATTTGATGATGCTTAGTATTGATTTCAATACGAATATGTAACATGTGTCGTCTTCTCACTGTTGCCCTGGTTATTATTGTTCTAGTATTATGTTGAATATTATTACCAATGTGATTGACAACATTAGTACCATTAGTATTAGCACTATCACCTTTATTATTCTTCATTTATCGTAAGTATTAGTATTGTTCTTACTCGTGCCATTCGTATTCCCAACCATCCTGTCGTGTTGGGTCCTCGTCTTGAAGAGACAGCGCCCCGCGTCTCCTTCCTGTCCTCTCCTATCCTCTCCTCTCCTCTCCTCCTCCCCCTCCTCTCGCTCCTCCCTCCTCCCCCCTCACACCAGCATCAGCATCATCAGCATCATCATCATCACCATCATCAAACTCGTCACCAATATCGTAATCACCATCTTCAGCACGATTTCGGCCGTCATCATCACCATCATCGTCATCGTTCCCCGCCCATTCCTGCACGCCAACACCCGGTTCGTTGCCCCAGAGGGGGCTCCACCGAAGGCCACAGCGGCAGGGTTCGCACGCAATTCCACCCTCATTTTGGTTCACCCCTCGCACGGTTCTTGGCCCTGGGGAGCTAAACAGAAGGCCCCAGCGGCAGGGTTCGCATGCAGTTCCACTTCATTCCGGCGCACCCATCACACGGTTCGTGGCCCCAGAGGAAGCTCCATCAATGGCCCTAGTGGCAGGGTTCGCATGCAGTTCCACCCTCATCTCGGCGCACCCCTCACACGGTTCGTGGCCCCATAGGGAGCTCCACCGAATGTTTTAGCGCCAGGGTTCGCATGCAGTTCCATCCTCATTCCGGCGCACCCCTCACACGGATCGTGGCCCCATTGGGAGCTCCATCGAAGGCCCCAGTGGCAGGGTTCGCATGCAGTTCCACCTTCATTTCGGCGCACCCCTCACACGGTCCGTGGCCCCATAGGGAGCTCCACCGAAGGCCACAGCGGCAGGGTTCGCTACAGTTCTGGCCTCATTTCGGCGCACCCCGTTCACGGCTCGTGGCCCCAGAGGGAGCACCACGGAAGGTCTCAGTGCCAGTGTTCGCATGCAGTTCCATCCTCATTTCGGCGCACCCCTCACACGGCTCGTGGCCCCATGGGGAGCTACACCGAAGGCCACAGCGGCAGGGCTCGCATGCAGTTCCGCCCTTATGTCGGTGCCCCTCTCACACGGTTCGTGACCCCATAGGGAGCTCCACCGAAGGCCATATTTGCAGGGTTCGCATGCAGTTCCAACCTCATCTCGGCGCACCCATCACACGGTTCGTGGCCCCAGAGGGAGTTCCACCGAATGTCTCAGTGGCAGGGTTCGCATGCAGTTCCGCCTTCATTTCGGCGCACCCCTCACACGGTTCGTGGAGGGAGCTCCACCAAAAACGAGATTCGCAATTGCGGCACCCACAATTGCATATGGTTGGGTCTTTCGCCAGGCGAAGTTTGGCTTTATTCATCGTATTAGCGTTTCGATTGCTGTGGTTATGATGATGGTCATGATTAAGATTATTGCTGTGATTGTCATCATCATGGTGCCGATGGTGATGATGATGCTGATGTTGCTGCTGGAGCTGGTGCTGATGCTGGTGCTGCTGCTGAGGAGGAGGAGGAAGAGGAGGAGGAGGAGGAGGAGGAGGGGGAGGAAGTGGAGAAAGAGAAGGACGAAGGGGAGGAGCAGCAGCAGCTGCAGGAGGAGCCCGCGCGTGCGCGCGCCCCTGGCAGGAGGGCGAGGAGTACAGCAAGAAGGGGAGCCCCGAGGCCCAGGTCTTCGATCTCATCAAGTCGAAGGGGTCGCGCCCGCGCCCTTTTCGTCGTCGTCGTCGCCCTCGTCGTCGTCGGCGTCGTCGTCGTCGTCGCCCTCGTCGTCGTCGTCGTCGTCGTCGTCGTCGCCGTCGTCGTCGTCGTCGTCGTCGGCGTCGGCGTCGGCGTCGACGTCGGCGTCGGCGTCGGCGTCGTCGTCGGCGTCGGTGTCGTCGTCGTCGTCGTCGTCGTCGTCGTCGTCGTCGTCGGCGTCGGCGTCGGCGTCGGCGTCGGCGTCGGCGTCTGTGTTCTGTGCGTGCATTGAGTACGGGCCCGTCGCGTCTGACCACCATCGAGTCAGCCCGCATAACAGCAAGGATGAGCGACTTTCCAAGGTTGCCTCTGCATCCTTCCTCTTCGGCCCATCCTTCGCCGCTTTCGCTGGCCGAGCCCCGCTCGCAAAGTGTCGACACGGCCTTCCAAGGCCGTTTCATCCTCATCGTGCGTCCTTGTTATACGGGTCGATTGTACATCGTGAAGACGATTGGGCACTGGAAGAAGGGATGTGCAAGATAACGGTAAAAGGATAGGGGCCCCTGATGGGCTGGAGTTCGGTACCGCGTGCAATAAGGTCAAGAGCTCCCCTCATCCCACCCCAGATCATCGCCCCATCACAACAAGTCTCGAACGTGTTGCGACGATTGACGTCGCTGCTCTGTCGCTGCAAGTGTAGCCGCCTGCCACCCTGGGCCCCGGCCCTCAGCTCGCTTCGGAATGGGCGCCGAATCAGCTGGATGCGAAAACTGGATCGACTGGATGCGAAAACCTGGATCAACTGGATCGAGCGTGCTCGGTGTCCGAGGACCGGGCCCCCGTGCTGCACCCATCGGCAGGGCGCGCCCAGGGGGGGGAGGAGGAGGAGGAGGAGGAGGAGGAGGAGGAGGAGGAGGAGGAGGAGGAGGAGGAGGAGGAGGAGGAGGAGGAGGAAGGAGGAGGAGGAGGAGGAGGAGGAGGGGGGGAAGAGGATCAACTGGATCAACTGGATGCGGCAACTGCAGGGCAACGGCCATTGCAGGCGGGCGGCTCGCCGGGACGGCAGCCGCGGCGTCAGAGCTAGGCTCGCCCCTCGGAGTGCCGGGTGCCTCGCCGCGCTGCGCACGAGGCAGCAGCACCCGCAGCGGGCCGGGGCGAAGAAGAAGAAGGACAACGAGGGGCACGGACGACGACGACGACGACGACGACGACGACAACGACGACGACGACTTCGACGAAGAGGCCGTGCGCACGGCCGACGACCGACGCGCGTCCGCGGGCGCTCGCGGGTGCCCCGGCGGCCGCCCGAGAGCGCACGCGAGCGCCTGGGAGCGCCTGCACGCTGGCGCCTGGGAGTCTCTTGCTCCTCCTCCTCCTCCTCCTCCTCCTCCTCCTCCTCCTCCTCCTCCTCCTCCTCCTCCTCCTCCTCCTCCTCACTCCACCCCCCCCTCCCCCCGTACCCCACCCTCCCCCTCTCCCTCCCCCCTCCCGGGGGGACTCGGAAGAGGGGAGGTGCAGATCTTTCTTTGGAGAGTCGCGTTGCACGGCATGGTCTTCAAGGGGCCTCCACAAGTTCTCCTCGGAGAGAATCGTAGGATTTGCAGTCTCGCTTTACGCGGGCAAAGATAAACTTCTTGTTTTTCGTGCTGGCGTATCGTCTGCATTAATTTTATCATTAAGATAATTTGAGTTCCGACTGTTGCGTTCTATTTGTTGTAGTTTTATTCAAATGATTGCAAAGCGCAGCCCGGCATAATAATTCCGCATTGGTGACACGACGATTCGCCGCCATCTTTTCACGGGGAGTTCTAATTGATTTGCATTCGTTGTTTGCTTCGCCGCCCTCGCCGCCGTTTTTTTCGATACGTCAGTTACTGTTTCAGTTTTTTTCTCCGCCGCCCGCTAATTCTCTGATGTGGAGTATGTTTTATCGCTTCCGGTGCGATCTGGCCGAAGCCAGAAGTTACAAAAGCACACGCAAAAGGAGGAGGAGGAGGAGGATGAGCAGGAGGAGAAACAATAAGAAGAGGAGGAAGAGGAGGAGGAGGAGGAGGAGGAGGAGCAGGGGAGAGGATAGAGAGCGCGAGGGAGCGAGGGAGCGCGGCTCGCGCGTGCGCACACCAACGAAGCCGTTGACCGCTGGCACTCGCACGGATGCCCCCACGAGCGCGGCCCCGCGGGGGCGGCGGAGAGAAGAACAGCACGAGCTCAAATGGTGGAGACGCGGCGACGGCGGCATCGGCAAGGACGGAGGGAGAGCGCGGCGACGGCGGCATCGGCAAGGACGGAGAAAGAGAGAGAGAGAGAGAGAAAAACAAAAACAAAAAAAAGGAGAGAGATGGGGAATTGGAATCGCTCGGGCGTGCGCACCTCTTCTCGGCGGGGACCATCGAGGAGCATCTTGGAGCATCCTGCAAAAACATGTGCGCGCGCGAAACCGAAACGCGCACAGGGAGTGGACGTCCGCGCGCTGGCGAGGACACAGTGGAGGCCCATGCCAAGAAACACCCTGCTTGCCTCCAGGGTGCCCTGGGTTTCTTGGGCTTCGATGGTCTTGCGATGGAGAGCGCGATGTTCCCACGCCAAAAATCTATGTACGCCCTGGGGTCTCAGGGTTGGGTTTCTTGTGGGGGGTTTCTTGTGGATCGGCCCCCACCCACGCCTTGGTCGACAGGCGACCACTTCGGCAGCCGAGACGTTTCGAGCGGGGGGAAAGCTCTCTTGCCCTCCACATTCTTTCGCCCCAAGCTCCAGGTTGGTTCCCAGTTCAGGGCTCTCAGATCCAGAGACGCCGCTACAGATGGCGCAATGGGCAGCGACCTGGACGTGCAATCGCGGGCAGCAGAACTGGCTGCTGGTCACTAATTGCAGCGAGTGCAGTACGGACTGGAAGGCCTCAGCTGGACGAGAACCGAGTGGCAAGCCAGACAGACGACGCCAGCGGTCCAACAGTCAGAAGAGTATCGATTCGAGGCCTTGGGAGGACGAGGAGGAGGTGATCAAAGGACCGCCCTTCGTCAGGATGGCCACTCCAGCGGAGGCTCACGCCAACCCCAACTACAAGCCTTTGTCTCCCAAGGCCGACGAGAGCGGGAAAAAACCTACTACAAAGAGACGAGGTCCAAGCTCAACCTGCTCCAGGAGAGATACAATATCGCCTGGGCCAGGGAAAACCAGTGCAGGATATTGTCGATCAGATCGCGGTTCTACGCAGAATGATGATTTCAGAAAATCATTGGAGCAGCAGGGTGCGTGGATAGAGACTACCATTGCGAGGATGATGCTACGAGTAGGTGCTGCCAACAAGCCAGTGGATATCCAACATAGTATATTGGACAGATAAGTATCAATACTAGTCACTCGTCAGGACAAGTCGAGGCCTTGCGTCGCACCAAGAACGAGATCCGAGCCATGATCCAAGAAGAACAATACTAGTAATTACATATTGCCCACGAGCAGGGCCGCGCAGGAGGAAACGAAGTGCACCACACCTCCAGAACAGCAGCAAGAGGTTCAACATCAGATAGCGTGCCACATTCAGCCAGCCTCGGCATCGGCTCCCCATAGCTTCGCATCGGGCTGGGAGGGTGCCCAGGGTGCCATTACGTGTTCCTCCTCCTCATCCCCTCCGCCCCTCATTCCTCCAGTATCGTTTCACCGATCCCCATCCCTACTGTGCCATGGGATCTCAGCCCCGCCATCCCACCCCCCAAGTTCAGGCCCCTCGGAACCCGAAGGGAACAGCCCCTATGGAGGCAAGCCTGCCAGGGGGGCCGAGGCCATGCCAGTGGGGGCAGGGGGCATCGCTCAAACGAGGCACCCCCCCCCTCTCCTTTTCGGGTGTTGCTAGAAGTGCCCCTGGCCCGAGGTGCCCCCAGGATTTCCAAGGAGGCCCTCACGGCCTCCAGAGTACCCTTCACGAGGTCCAGAGGGCCCCAGGGGCTCCACAACTGAGCGGAAAGCTGGGGGTACCTTTGGCCAGGGGCGCCTCTGGCAGCCCTCTCCCCCTCCCTCGTCGAAGGCTCGAGCCCGCCGCTTCTGCTCGGGCCCTCCCAGGTCCGGGGAGGAGGATGAGGAGGAGGAGGAGGAGGAGGCGGA